TAAGCAAGGGCCTCTTTCTTAGCCTTTGCGCAAACTTTCCGTCCTCAGAGCCGCTCTGAAAAATTCGTTTACATGACTGTGTTTAGATTCTGATGACTAGGGAGGCCTTTATAAACTAAGAGTTCTATTTCCAGTTGGCCGCCCTTGTGCAGGCTGGTAAAGAGGAGAACTCCAATTTTTCAGACTCATTTTGAAAACTTTTTGCCCCAAGGCCTCCCCAGTGGTACAGCGGGTTGAGCACAGTGCTGTGAAGCTGTCTACAGCCTTTGCAGTGCAGGATCGTCTCCAGCACGGCCAGGGAGCTACCCACATTGTGCAGCAGACCTCTCCTGTCTAGCTCGCTGCTCCCCTCAGCAGTGTATTTCGGTCCATCTGCCTGTTCTGCTCCCCACTCTGTCTCTGGTGAATCCTCTCACCCTCCTGAGCCTCTGGCCTGTACCCCAGCTCTTGTATAAAAATAAATAAATCTTAAAAAAAAAAAAAAAAACCTTAAAAAAAGCAAAAACAACTTTATGCCCCTGACAAAAAAGGCAAATGACAAATGGGGAAAAGTTAAGCACCACATCTCATTGATTTCAAATCCTCTCCTCCTGCATCCAGGGCCCCTGAGGACTTCACAAAGGAAGTTCTTGCACAAAAGTGGCCCATGTGGGAAGCAGGGAACTAGAAATGACCCATGACTCTGAAAAGGAGTTCTCAATAGACCCATGTCATCATAATGCCATTACTCTGTTTTCACTGGATGACAAACTCTTCACAGTATCATTTGCTCTTGGCAAGACCATAGATCATAATTCTCCTCCTTTTAGGGTTTATTCACCACTAGAAACAGTGAAATGCGTGGACACCATCTTGAGAAATAGTGGAAACATTTGCTTTTCATTTAGAATTGCTTTATGTTGATTGCATTGAGTTTTACTTAATAGTTTTAAGTAAATTTTAAACAAAAAGTTGTGTGAGCCATGGAGATTTTTGGCGATATGAATGTCTATCATGAGAAAAATCTAAAAACATAATTGAACGAGGCGTGACAGGCAGGTCCAGAGCACAATATGAACACCTGGTGATACTTCCTACCTGGTAGCTGGCATTTAGAGTATAACTCAGAGACATTTTTATACCTTTATTCTGCTAAACACATTTGTTATTTAACTCCTTCCTAGTTTATCCATTTAAAAACTAACCTTACTTCCTGAAGGTGCGAGTTAATAATTAGGTATGTTAGACACAAAGTGTATTTTGATTTTATCAAGACGTTTTTTAAAAAATCTCTTTTGACAGTTTCAAAATCAACTTAAAAGAATAAAGATTTTGCAGAAACTGTTCTCAAAGGCTGAGCAATTGACATGTAAGTGTCCTGAATAAAAAGCAGGTGGCAAGAGGGAAGGGGTTTCGAGAGTGTGGGGGTTATATTGACAGATCAGGAGCAGACACAGTGGTCAGGCTCAATGAATTAAAACAAAGAAGCAATCTCTCCATCCGGGAAGAGGAGCAACTCTGGGATCAGAACAATCAGAACTGAAACTTCCCCCCTTATTACCTATGTAATCTGGGGCTAAACACTTCAGAGTTTCTGAGCACTTCAATTTCCTTATCTGGAGAAAATATATTTATGTTAGGACATAGAAGTAATTATGTTAGGACATAAATAAGGACATCAAAAAGAGGTCCTTACTATCACATCTGTACATGGTTCAAAGCTGGAATTAGGGATGCCATATCATAGAATTAAGGTTCAAAATAATGATAAAATAAAAAGATGAGCTAAGATGGTGATGAATATTAGAGAGAGAAGAAAAACAGAATCAGATAAAGTATGATTTTCCTTTTGGTTTTGTTTTAAATTCAATTGTACCAGCAGGTTAACAGCAGCTTACATGAGCAGATAGGTTTCTGAAGGCTTGAGTGATAGGGAGATTGCTATGGAGACAATAGTAGGACATGCCTACTGATTAGACACAATCTTGTACTACAGGAGCATATGTTGTATGTAAATCAAGAGAATTAACCAGTCTAATGCACTCTGCATGGTCCTATCCCCATCTAGAGCACTATGTTGAGTTCTGGGCACTGTATTTTTGGAAGAATACTTACAAAATATATATCCCAGAAAGGGATCAGAGGGGAGAACTAAGGAAGCTAGAAATAATTAAGTTTTTAAAGTGAATATTAGGGACAATGTAGCAATTGCAATGAAACAACATGTAACAGATAGTAAAAATCTCAAAAAGTGATAGTGAGGAATATGTATTGAGTACTGTTACAAGTAAAGTAGTCACTGCTGTGCCCATTTATCAGATGAGAAAACTGAGGCACAGAGGGTAAGTTACATGCTGAGGGTCATATAATTTGTAAGGGCTGAGCCAGGTGTCACCCCATGGGCCCATTCCCAGATCTGGGAGTGAGAATAAAGACACATTCCAGATATTTCTAATCTGTTTTATGGGATCATACTAACATTGCACTCTCCTAATTTTTTTAAACTGAGCACAGGCTAATGACTTACTCCGTCCAGGGAAATGTGAGCATGAAGTCAAGTGGTGACTTCAGTGTGGTGTTCATCCTTCTCCCATCACAGATGTGTGGGGATGGAACCTCCATCATGCTTGTTTCTAAAAGTAACACTAAAGAATGGCTAGGAAAGCCTGGCTCTCTGAGGGGCAATGATAACAGAACTGCCCTGCCAACCCCATTGGATAACCTGTTATTGGATAAATAACAGGAGCGAGAAATAAACTTGTTTGATTAAACCACTGAGATTTGGGGGTATTTGTTACAAGGCCATCGACTAGGCTATTCTGACAGATATGGGAAACCAAAGGCTTAAAATTATTAAAATATCTCAGAAAAGAAAACATACTTATTCTTATATTTTTAGAGGTCAGAACTAGGAAGAGTATGTAGAAACTATAGGTGGGCAGATTTGAGCTTAGTTTAACGTTTTTAAGTAAAGTTGCCCAAATGCTTCTTCATGAGGTTGAGAGCGCCCTGAAAATGGAGATATTTAAACAGAGGTCAGATGATCGTTGTGCATCTCTGCAGCAAAAGAGATGCCTAAATTAACAAGGTCTAATTTATCAAACATTTATTGAGTTACTCCAATGTGGCAGGCATTTCAGCCGCAAAGATATATGTAATTCCTATCTTCAAGAAAATAATCAAGCACAGAAGTAGATAACCTCAGTGCGATTCAACCAAATGAGAGGTAATAACATGGCCTGGATGAAGCTGACAGCAAGCCTGAATTTACAAATAACCATGCAGCGCTTGAAATCCTGCTGATGCTTAGGTTGTATTATTATTTTTCAATTAGGAGCCAAAAGTATAGGGTTTGCAAAAGGAAGGAAAAGGGAAGAATTGCTGGGTTTAAGCGAGGCACATTTTCCTTTTCTCTAGTTACCATTCTTCAATCTTGCAAACCAGGCATATTATCTGGCTTACATCAGGGGTGTTGCAGCGTGGGGAATAGCACTGACTCATAGTAATTGTTACCGACCTTTTCCATCTGTCCCACCCTTTAGAGTCAGGATGGGCGCATTCAATGGTGATCAACTCAGAACTGCCAAGGGTCAATAACCTGCCGTTCAGAAATCAGCCAAAGACCCTACAAAAGTTTCAGAAGTTTTTCCTGAAAGGGTATTAGAGCAAGGCCTAGAGGAATCCCGTAGGATGTGAAAATCACAAACTAGATGAGTGATTCCAAGGGACACTGAACTGACCGTGTTTCCAAAGGGCACCTTTAAACAATGCTAACTTCAGTACTTGCTTTCCCTGGTGGTATCCAGTGTTAAAGCTCTCTTTGCTTGTTTGTTTGTTTGTTTGTTTGTTATAAACTTGGAAAAATCAAACATCGGAGATATGTGCGGCTCTTTCCCTGGCTCACTGCGTTTCAATGGAAAAACATTCACAACTTAGGTAAGCAATAACTGTTTTGTACCGAAACAGACATTTCCATTTAGATTATTTTCCAACAATGCGTTAGCCCAGAATATCATCTGTGGGTGGGTTCTGCAGCCACTATCTAGACAGTGATGCCATATCTGATCACTATTGTTCCCCATCTCAAAAGCATCAGTTTGAACTCTAAATACTCCAGTCCTGTCCAGGCCCTGAATTTTCTGAACTATGGTTCTGATTTTCTATGAAATAAATAAGGGTACACTAGATTTCAAAGCCATCCCTTCAGTCAGTTCAGTGTGACATGAGTTTCTCAAAATGACACAGAAGAAATTGGTTTTGGCACATGAAGGGCAGTAGGGAATTTGCAGTTCCTGCTAGCTGACTGCCTCTTCATACTCTTGCCTATTTTCAAAAGTAGATGATATTCTTGCAGAGCCAGCTGGATCCCCGTGGTACCCCGTCTTGTGCCAAGCTTTGTACACAAATACACTCCTTACACACACGTGAAATGTCCATCTAGGGCAGGAGACAGAGACTGAGATTTGGGTGTTTAGTTTAGTGGCTCCACACCCAAAAAGTTTCAGGGACAGAACTGATGTTTGAAGAGTGCAAAAGGAGGCCGCCCACCCTGTACTTTCATCCGGGCACTATGGGGATAACCCCATTTTCCCAGCACCAGTTTGTCCTCTGTCCCGATGACCTGAGTTGAGATTTAATTGGGGTGGGGGGAGGGGGGCGGTGGACAAGACAATTGTGCGTGGTTATTCAGATACTGAGAAGGACTGGAAAACCCCCACGCGTTCCTGGGCTAATTGGGCTGACACACCCACCCAGAGCCGACGGCCGGGGTGGCGGCAGGGAGCCAGGGGAACCCGCGCAGCTTTGTCCCGGGCGCACGAAGATGCTGCGATTGCGGCCACGCGCGAATTCAAGTTCTGGCTAGAAGGTCACCCTACGCTCCACCGGGGATGCGCCTTTCCCCCCCTCCTCGCCTCTGCCCGTGCCAAGTGAGCGGGAGAAAGTTGTACCTGGGTCGCGGCGCCCGAGTTGAGGAAGGAACAAGACGAGGCCGGGCGGAGAAGAGAGCCGGATCCCCTTACCTGGTCCTTGGGGCCGAGGTTCTGCAAAACCTCCTTGCCGGTGGCGCTCCGGATCTCCACCCCGGCGGGCGCGGGCGACGCGGGCGCCGGCTCTCTGCTCTCTTCCCGGCCTTGGCCCCGGCGCGGGGTGTCCCCCTCCACCCCGGGCCGGCACCCCGAGCCGCGGCCGCTGCCCTGGCTGCTTCGGGGAGTCTTCGCGCCCCGCTGCCCCACGCTCAGGGCATCGAAATCCAGGGTCTTGCTCTCGAAGGCGCCCTCCACGTTGCAGAACATGCCGCCGTACTTCTGCCGCGGGACCTGGTCGGTGGTGCCCGGCCTGGCCAGGTACACGGGCAGATCGTCCTCGTGGGAGCTGTCCCAGCCCCTCCGGCCCGAGGCCATGGTTCCTGCAGACAGCGGCCCGCGGGTTTCCTTCCCCAGAGGCGGAAAGGGCAGCCGCCGGCAGCGTGCGCCGAGCCACAGTGAGCGAGTGTGGCGGGAGGAGGCGCCTGAGCCTTCGCCAGAGGCGGCAGTGCTGCTCCGGTTCCTGCCAGTCCCCCGCGAGCCAGCGAGCGCGCGGGCCGCAGCAGAGGCGCGCTCCGATCGCGGGCCCTCTCGCCCAGCCTCCCGCCCCGCGGCGCCTCCTCCAGCCCGGGACCCAACCGGCCGCACGGGACGACGCGCCCTGGTTACGCTCGGCGAATACGAAGCCCAACTTGGCGCGCGCGCACAGACACGCGCGCGCACCCGCACTCACAGCTGCCAGCCGGTCACCCCTAGCCCCAGATTCACGCTCGAGAACTTGCTTCACTCACACACTCACACATGTACGCACACCCTGCCTGACCCGGCTAACACCCGAGTTTGCCGCACGTGCTCAAATCTTCCTGCCGGCTCATTGACCTCACTCCAGGTGACTCAGGTGCGTTCACTGGAGAGCCGGGGCAGGCTTGCCACCAGCACACACAAACTCGGATCTCCCAGACTCGGCCCCAGACTTCATTTACCCATATTGCTTTTTTTTCCCCACATTTTATTTTTTTCTTTTTTCTTTTATATATTTCTTACATCATTTTTTATTTTTGCCCAATATATGCATTTTCATCTTGGTTATAGTCCCCATACAATTCCCACCACTCTTGTTTTTATCCTATTCCCACCACTCTTGTTTTTATCCTGTTCCCACCACTCTTGTTTTTATCCTGTTCCCACCACTCTTGTTTTTATCCTGTTCCCACCACTCTTGTTTTTATCCTATTCCCACCACTCTTGTTTTTATCCTACTCCCTTCTAGACGTGCCTCATCCTAATCTTACAGTTCCTTCACAATTGATCCCAGTTCTATATCAGCTTCATAAACCTAAACCCTCACTTAATGAACTCTGGAATGACACACACACACTCACACACACAAAGAGCGCCTCTTCATTGACAATCACAAAAGCCTATAATTGACTCACAAACAAGACTAGCCTTAAACTCTTTCTTATGTCAACATAACACCCTACATTTTCCCTTTTACTGCCCCTAATTTATCTCAATTACATGACAGGTCACAGAGATGTATATACATTCCTAGATTTTGCCTCGCAAAACACCCTGTCCTCATAAGGTAAATCCCAGGCTAGTACTTCACAGGCTCAAGCCATTTTCTCTCAGTCAGAACCCACACTCTAGCTCACATACCAGCTCAGATGTACCACAAAATGCACAATCAAGGACTTTGTGTTCCATGTTACATCACATACACACAGACTGTCCTGACGTACTTGCATGCTCCTACAACTCAATCTCTTCCCCACCCTGCCCAGACTTTTGCCATATAGAGCCCACAAACTGCAGAACTTGAGGCACATCATCTGCACACACAGCCTAAATCCAATATCTGCAATACCCAAATTAAACTGGGCTCCTCCTAGAAATCCACTCATTCATTTATCCTTCCAAAGTGAATTGAGCGCTCTTCCCAAGATTCTGAAGCCACAGATGGGGGCCTGCCCTCACCAAGGGTATAATCTACAATCCCTCCCCCCACTCCCCATTGTAGCACCATCATTCAGGATTCTAACCAGCATGAGAAGCTTTATTCTCTGCACTCCATGAGGCTGAGATCTGGTCTTTTTAACTCATCTTTGACTATCTTGAGCCCAGAACATCAATAGGCCCATAATAGGTGTTCTATAAATCCTTTATGGATAAATGGATCATAATAGTAATAATGATTTTAAAGACAGGGAACATTTATGGAGCAGTTGCTGTACATCAGTCACCCCTGTAATTATTTCACACAGAATAAGATTGTTAAATACTCCTAAGTATGGCATGGACTGCTGTGTGTACACGATACAAGATTTGAAGGCCTTTGCAATGAATTTGATGAGCTGAAATGCTGATCTCCAGGTTCAGAGGGATTGGGATCTCAATGGCAGACCTGTGGCAGCCATGAAGTTTTGGGGGGTGCAAGTTGACCAGGACCAGGATTAAAGACATATATGTCAACATAAGATATACTTAGCCCTGGGAGGATAAAAGCACTTGCTATATTGCCCGGACTCCATAAGCATTATTTATGATTTCTCAAGCTGATTTTCTCTGGGCAACTGCTCCTTTATAGCAAATGCTGATTGGTGAGAGCTCCAGAATTTCATGTGAGAAATCAGCAATATGGGCTATTCCCCCAATCTTTGCTCATGAAGGTTATTTTCTTCCTCTTTTGATTTTAAGGGAGACAATTGTGCATTCAGCTGTCCTTGGTTGCCTCCACTACAGAACTTCACTCTAGTGGGGGTGAGGGGCAGACAATATATAAGAGTGACCAGGTAAGATAGTCACAAGAACAATACATTAAAAAAGAGAGCCAATGCTTAGATTGCTTAGATGCTTAGATAGCCAATGCTGCTGGGGAAAGATTTGTGGATTTTTTTTTTAATCATTGGTCCATCTATGGGCTTCATATTCCTTTTATTTTTTTCATTTAAAAAATCTGTATCAGGGCTTTCCCTTGGCACGGTGGATTGAGCGCAGCACTGTGAAGCTGTCTGCAGCCTCTGCGGCACGGGTTCCCGGCCAGGGAGTAACCCACTTGGCATCGCAGACCTCTCCTGTCTCGCCCATTGCTCCCCTCAGCAGTGTTTTCGGTTAGTCTGCCTGTTCTGTTCCCCGCTCTGTCTCTGGTGGATCTTCTCGCCCTCCCGAACCTCTGACCTGTACCCCAGTTCTTATATAAATAAGTAAATCTTTTTTTAAAAAAATCTGCATCAAAGTAACACTGCATTATAACAATATATAAGTTTTAGGTGTGCATCATTCAACATCTGCGAGACTACATAATGTTCACCACTAAAAGTCCAGTTCCACCCTTTGTCAGACAGTTGAGTCCTTTCACTAGATTTACCCAACCCCTTCCTCCCCCTTGTGTCTGATCACCACCAGTTTGGCCTTATAAGGAAAAGTTTTAGTTTTGCCCTTTTGACTCCATAACACCACTGCACAGGCACCACCAGCACGGGCAACAATAAGGGTATCAGTTAACATTTATTAGGCATTTATTCTGTGCCAGGACTCAGTGCCAAGGACTTCCCATCCAGGATCTTAATCTTCATAGCACAAGTCAGAGACTACTATTTCTTTTTTCCCACCAAAACAGTTGAAATTCTGAGTCAACAACCAAATTATTCCAGAGACATAAATGGAAGCATGACAAGTGCAAAATAGCTATGATTTCCCTCCAGAGGAGTGCACACGGAGTGTAGGCGTGTGCCTGTGTGTGTTTGTGTGTGGGCGCGTGGGCGTGGGTCAGGCTCAGTGTTAGAGCTGCATTGCCTCATCACTATGTAGATGCTCAATAATTTCCTGTGTTGATGAAACTTCACATTTAAAAGTCAACAGCTGCATGTACACATATGTGTTTAATTAAGAAAGCAAAGCAGCCTTTTAAAGAAATGGCAATGGCTGATGTGACTCCAGTTCAGCAATTATATGGCCTTAAGCCAAATGTCTTACTTCTTGATGTCTCTCTGCTTCTTATTTGCTTCAAACGCCTAACAGGGTTATTAAGGACTTCACTCATTGAGTAAGGCATTGTGCTAAGAATTTCACGTGCATTGCCTTATCCTTCATGAATACCCAGAAATTTGGTGTAATTATTATTTTCATTTCACCAGTGCAGAAAAGGAGGCCTAGAGAAGTCAAGTTCCTTTTGCAAAGTTTCAGAGCTTGCACTTCGAGCTGACGTTCAAGCCCTCTGCTAGCTAGTTTCGAGCTCTTGCTCCTAAAAACTGCTCCATGATCTGGCTTTGTTGCAAGAACCCAAAGAGAAAATAGATGGGGAGACCAAAAGTAAGGTGGTAACAAATTAATTAATTCTAAGTGCCCTAGTTGTACTGGCAGAGATTAACTTTCGTTAAGACAAACAGTCCCTGGCCTCCCCAGTGGCGCAGTGGGTTGAGCGCTGTGCTGTGAAGCTGTCCGCAGCCTCTGCAGCGCTGGTTCGATTCCCAGCCGGCCAGGGAGATTCCCACATGGCGTGGCAGACTTCTCCTGCCTCACCCGCTGCTCCCCTCAGCAGTGTCTTCAGTCGGTCTGCCTGTTCTGCTCCCTGCTCAGTCTCTGGTGAATTCTCTCACCCTCCTGTGCTTCTGAGTGTACCCCAGTTCTTGCATAAATAAATAAATTTAAAAAAAAAAAGAAAGACAAACAGTCCCATAAAGAAACATCCTCCCAATGTCCTCCTAATGAAAGCATAGCCCCATGAACACATGGCGATTTTGTCATGTCTCTTTGTAAGGTAGAGGACATAGAGCAGTAGTATTTATGCCCCCTTAAGCCAGACTTCTCAGAGAAAGTCAAAATACAAAACTTCCATTGGTCACACATCAGCTCCAATATGCATTTCCCATAAGTGCAGTAAATCACTTGTCACTTTGCATTTAGATAACTTGCGTTTGAGCCCATAGCATATCTGATTCTAACTTTAGAGACATGTATTCCAGAGGGGCTTCTATTACCTATAGATCAGAGAAAAGAAGCAATTCCTCCACAGCAAGCACAGAGCAAGCCCCCACATAGTAGAGCCTAAGATGTCTCTTGTGCAAAATATTAATTATAAGGCAAAAATCTACCCAATAGAAGATAAAATTTTAATATTCACTAAAGCTGTGCTCAAAGTAAAGAAGAAATGTAGGAGCTTTATAGTGAACCTGGACTCGACGTATATTTAATATTTCTGATCAAAACCCACCCTGGCTTTTCATGCCTTAATTGCAGGAACTTGGACCTACATCGTCTCTTTCCCAGTTTAAAGGTACAGAGATTATAAACCTCACTTTTCACCCTACAGATGTCACATATGAATGAGGTAAACTTGACCTTAATCAGCACTCTGTCTGGCACACAGTAGGTGTACAATAAGGAGTGCTCTTCCATTTCCATTGAGTATCTTTAGATTATAGCACAGAGTTTGCAATAAGCTTGGCCATAGCTAGAAACTTTAACTTTGTGGACTTTGCAGAGGAAATTGACGTTATAATCAATTCTGTTTAAAAATAACTGTTATTTTCAATATACCTC